TGAAAATGCGAATCTTGTTCCTCATGCTGAGTGTGGAAGATTTTCCAACTGGTTTCATGACGACGAAGGCTTATCTTGGCTTTCCGATTATGTCCAGCTTTGAAATGTTCATCCCTTCCGCCAGCCGTAGTTGAAACGATACTTCCAAGATAAGTGAAGGAGGTAACCTCTGTCAAATCTCTCCCGTTAATGGTGATTGGCACTAGTTGTTGTTGTTGTTGCTTGGTTGGTTATCTTCATCACCTTCGTCTTCTCTATATTCACCTGGAGTCCTGTTTTCGCTACCTATTCTGCAATTTATTCACTCGCCTTTTTGACTTTATCCATATTCCGCATTCAATGTTCACGTTGCACGCACAAAAGTGCAGTATTTTCACTTTAATCGATTGGTATTTTTATTAATATTGTTCTTATTATCGCTATCATATTGAATGTGTACTAGCTTTTCAGTACAAATAAAATCTATATAAAATTTCATGTAGAAATACATTCTGCAGGGAATAAGAATAATTAAAATGTCAACATATTCATTTGATTATTGATGAATGATAATTAATGACATTGAGTAAAATGATATTTTAGTGTTTTATAATTTTGTTATTCATGGATGTGTGAAAAGATTTGAATGTGGTAGTAAACAAAATGGCTGCACTTTTGAAGTTCCTTAGAATAAACATATTTTGACACTTTTATGATGTATTCATGTTTTCTTTCTACAGGTATGACATTCTATGTTTGAGAGTAAACGTGTGAGTTAACTCGTCTTTGTGTAAACATCCAATGTAGATTTTGTGGAAGGAAGCTAATCCAAATAAAAGTGACGGCATGTAGTATTTGTAAACATAAAAGCCAAGGAGAAGGTAACATTACAAAATTACGAAATTCAGCATTATATCAAGCATTTTTATTTCACTATATTAGGTAGTTATACATAACCGTCTTTAAGAGCTATTTTTCTATCACCTGCTATCAAGTGTATCTCTTATTCCAACCTTTCTGTTATAACATCTAAATTCATTTGACTTTTATGTTTTTTATTTTTTGTATCGAATATCATGTCGTTTATTTCTGTCCGTTTTATTCTGCAGTCATGCTGATAATCTTTGTGGAGAAATTTTATGTCTTGTATGCCTCATTTTTTAATTTCTGTTATTGCAATGTCATTTTCATCGACGTTTTCACTGTATTACTAGACTTTGTAGGATTTTATTCCTGTACTTTCCAATTTGTTTTTGTATTACCAGTGCTTCTTGAACCACCTTAAAACTAACGCATATTTTGGAATAAATATCATTGTCCCTTTATAGATTTACGGACTTTGAGAAACATAATATCTGACTGATATTCCGTCACCTATAATCTTTGATATTGATTTTCATGCTGACCAGGTGGAAATGGACAATCCCTTGGGTCCTGTATTGCGAGTCTTCTCTATTACTAACCTTAACTATACATGCGTGAAATATGCAACTAGTCAAACAACAGCTTACTGCAGATATCCGTGTGTAGCATCTATCACCCTTATTGATTTCAGTCTTGCTTTGCGTATACTTAATTTATCCAACGATTAACGGGGTAATACGACTTTTAAAACTGAATACGAAGACGGTGAGCTATTTAGCTTGGAGGAAATGATACATAAGACGGTCAGAAGATTGACCAGTCTCATGGATACATGAACTGGTTCCTACCTAAATTCTGGTAGCTTCTGTCTGGTCAGCTAAAAACAAATGGTGGTGAAGATAATATATTATGGAAGAAAAAAATTGTCCAGGTGATAAACTGGGCAGCGAACAAATATCATTCAAGAAAGAAAATATCTTCTCATTGAATAAATTCATTTTAGATAATTTACCACGACACAATATTGACAGCTTCAAGCATAATTTACTGCGCATAATCATATCAATGTTTTCACATAGCTCCATAATTTGCTTCATGTATTTTACCTTCCTGCTGCTATTTAGTTTAATGCTCTATATATTCAAAGTAGGCATTGCGCACCTATGTCTGCATTTCACCCCTCCCCTCTCTATTGTCTGAAAGTATAAGACGTAATAACGTTTGTTGGAGTGATGTGTTAGTGACCGAATCTTCGTTTGTCTAATAAACGTAAAATACATGCAGTAGATATGATGCAATGTCTACACTAGATATATAGAAAATACAGTGAATAATGGATGGGGAAGAAAAACTACACATATAAAGCAGAATATAAAATTGAGTGAATACATTGACATCATTATGAGCTCTAAATTGGGCTTGAAACGTAAACTGGTTATCAATACTGTGGCACCATGTTTTATATCAAACAGACTTATCTAGTAGGGAACTATATTCTACTTCAAAACCCGATTACTGCACTAACATTTAAACTAGTTACCTGCAAAATTTAATCAACAAATATGTCGACAAAGAATGTAACGTTAGTAGGCAGCTGAGTTTTATTCAAATTTACTTCGAAGATTATGTTCATGAGATACAAAGTATTGCATTGACCAGAGTGGATCATGCAGCGGACACTGTCTCTCTTCTTCAAAAATCTCATTCGTTGGGCAATTAAAATTTGACAAGTGTTCCTCTAAATAGGTACACCAATGTATCTAAAAGGCAGTTGCACTGGGAAAACAGAAGAAGGGGTTTATGCCAGGATCCATGAACATGCTTCGTTAACCCTTCCAGTATAGGTAATAAATGGTTCTAATCCACCAATCATCAAACAGACACCTAAGAAATATTCAGACTAATTAACAGACTACATAGCTCATGACTTCTTCAGTTTTCCATGGTGACTTTCATCTTAGTAACAGTTTGTTCCCACTAGTATCGCTTTTTTTCCTTTTCATTTTTTATTTTCGATTCTATGAGGCACAGTAACTGTATCGTGCCGCAAAGTACTCTACCAACAGTTCATCGGATTTATAATGCACCCAATTTAATGATTTTTGATTTTCCAGTTTCTGCATATCGTATTTTATAAAATCTGCTTGCTTTCCGCTACAGCTTGTCTAACGTCGTATTTTGTATGTTGATATTGTTGAAAAAGTGTTTTTATGAGCAGCTTCGCTAAGAAAAGATATATACACTGTAACACTTCAAGATAACTTATCACCTTTATGTTTCATTTAACTATGATGTTGTGACAGTATTCTTTATTGGAGGACTGATTTCTACTGATAAAGAAATGTTTGGGAAATTTGTACAATAACCTGTTGCAACAAACTCCACTGGTTTTACAAACTTGGAGAGAAACCATGAAATAAGAAGACTGAATACCTCATTAATAATGAATGACTAATTGCAGAGAAGATAATGCAGCAGGTTTCTGATTAAGCCTTGTCATCTGACTCAAAGCTACATTGTTAGGCAGCATATTCAAATGCTGAAAATTTCGTGTTTGATGTAAACAGAATGATACAAATGCGCCTAATGAAGTGAATAAGATTCAGTGTAGAAGAATATAAAGAAATCAGCTTTCTGTGAAGGCATCAGCCACACCTTCGTAAGAAAATCAGCCAAATGAAATGTTATGTAGGCCATCTTGTAAAGCACTTAGTAGTTAAGGAGTCGAAGTGTACAACGTCTCCATGGTTTCATCCATTTAAATAACTTATTCCTTTATTAGAATTCAAAACATTCATCACATGTTAATGGAGTAGAACTTAGTGAAATTCTTGAATTCCAAAAGAATTTCTCAATTAAATACTCCGAATGTTGTGGTTAATTCATTAGGTGAAAATGTTTCACAGGTAATTTAATGGTCAGTGAGGGATGAAAAAGCACAAGAGATTGAAAATCAAGATTATAAAAGATCACAGTTTATCCATACTAATTTAATAAACGAGCGTATCATTGAAAGAACTTGCAAGTATCAAGAATACCAGGATTCATGGTAATTACACTGAAAGGAGTTAAGATAATCGTACCGGCAAAAGTTAGTTTAAAGTAAGACAACATTTAAACGAGGAAGTAAATATAGTATTGATAATGAAGTAACAATCGAAAACATAATAGCATGACAGATTCAAAATTACCATCAAATCTTTCAGCATGCAGAAACATGTTTAAATATACTCTAATTACGATTATTCCTGCAAATGTATATATATTTCCATTTGTTTGGTTGCTCAAAACAGTGAATGACTTGATAGCGAGAATATAATGCTCGCAGGTTGAAAGATGTTTTGTTATCATACTATGGATTCAGCTGTTTTCAGTAAGTCGAACAAATGATCGATTATGTTACAAAACAGTTGCTTCACCGTACTACTCATTTATTTGCATCCTCCAATACATTCGAGGTGATGTGTACAGTCAGGAGTACTGAAAGTTAACAAGTAGTCATTCCCAGAATCTAGATGTACTGCCTTCATGGTTTTGTGGAATACGATATTTCTGGCCACATTAAATTCTTCAATTCCTGCTCCACAAATATTTTTGGTTGTTTCAAACTTTACTAAAAAATTGAATTATACATGAAGTACAGACGATTGATATAACTAACAAAACACACGAATATATTCATATAAGCAGTTGTGGAATACACTAAATTATTAATTTTGAGACTAAGTCTCTTGACTGACATATTTGGATTCTGCCATAATATAGTTGGTTTAGCCTGGAAACGTTTTCACAAATTTTTTGCAGTATGTTTTAAAATGAGTAATGAATTCTTAGTTATACATGCCTCTCTTTAAATTACCATTCATAATATAGATGCTACTAGCGACAGAAAAGCATATCAGTTACCTAAAAAAACTGAAGCACAAATTTACTTAATACCCAGCATCATTTTTCTGTCATAGTACACGTAAACAATTTCAGTACACATCTATTGGCATTTTCATGTCAGAAAGTAAGCTTAGAGATGTTCAAAAATGACACGACATAAATGGAGTCGCGTGTCTCTTTAGAAAACATCCTATTGACATGCATCACGTGGTCTGTGTGTAAAAAAGTATAAATTTGAAATTCTAAGCCCTACGAAAATTCAGAGTCATCACTGTTTTTATCACCATGCATATACTGTACATACTTGTCATTTTACAAGCCTGCGTATTTGTTTCCATTGACTGCGAAAGTGAGTACTACTTTTGGAACAAGACATATAAGCAAACAATATTGTTTTCAATTAGATCTTCTTCAGGCTTTACTCTAATTTACATAGATTTATGTTGTAATTATTTGTAATCGTAGTATTAGTATTTCGAGATGACCGAATTACAAGAATCCAACCAAAACACTGAGAGGGCGGAATTCAGGAACTTGTATTTAGCGGAATTATTATTCAATTCATATAAGAAATATATTAACAATCAACAGTAAGTATTTAAACAATACAGAGATAGAAATTGTCAATCACCACATCCACCACACGTCGAATATCTCCTTGCGTATTTATAACGATGTCTCGGTTTGCTTGCAAGTAGCTGCGACCTTCTAACTGATTCTGTGATATTATTTTCATCAGTATTATCTGGACTTATTTCAGAACTATCTACAAAGTCAGGATTAGTAACGGAATCATTACAATTATTATTGGAACGACCTACTTCATTTATTGTCACTTTGTCCAGGTGTCTGTTATGAACTGAGTGATCTTTGATGTCTAATATCTCCACCACTCGATTTCCCATTATTTGTAGTATGATTCCAACAGAAGGTCTATAATCATTCCCTTTGTAATAATGTACATTAAAAGTCGTGGACATCAGATGCTTTCTGAGAATTCGAGATTTGAATAGTTTTGCAGGACTTTCATGGGTACTTGTATGTTCTGCATTCAACAGACGCAGTCTATGCATATGCAGCAATTCTTCCATTTTAATCAGTTGCCCTCTCATCTCATTCAGTTTTTTCGTGTTTTCGACAGTTCACATTGTAACTCGGCTACCTCATTTTTGAAAACAGTTGACGCTTGAGTTACTGAACTTGTAGTGGAGGTTTTCATTGGATAAGATTGAGTATTTTGAAAAGTTGAAAGACACATTGACTCCATTTTACTGGACAGATTGGAAGAATTATAAGAACGCTGAGTAGCATAAGTATTCGAACTTCTGCAAACAGTCTTGATGTGTCCAACTTTACTACATTTATGACACTTAGCACCCCGAAAACGGCAAGTGATTCGTAGATGTAACTTTCCACAGGATAAACACGGTTTAATGTTTTTGATCTCTCGCTGCATTCTATTACCTGTGGACGACAGTTTGGATTGGTTTCCATGAACACTTGTATTTTCGACTTTGGACAACATGACATCAGATACTGACGTAGTGGGAGCAGAGTATTCACTGTTGACATCTTCATATGTAATACATAAATCTTTAGCAGTTTGAAAGGTACAAGGAGGAATCTGAATTAACTCTTTCTCTAACTTAGGAATATTGACTCCAGCAATTAGACGATCACGTAGTTGAGTATGCAGCTGATCTCCAAAGTTACACTTTGAAGCTTGTATTTGGAGTTGAAGAATAAAGTCTCTTATCTTCTGATTGGGAGCACGAACCAGTTTATGGAATTGAGCCCTCTCTCCTGTCTCAAAAGCAGTTATGTGAAAGTGATGTATCAGAAGTTCACGAATCTTGTCATATGACAGAGAAATGGGTTTATCTGGAAACCCCAGCGTCTTCACTAGGCTATATGCATCTAGCCCAATAGCAGTGATGAAATGTACTGGAATTTTGTCATCCCGAACGTTCTTTGAAATGCACCATGCATCGTAGCATTCAAGGTAATCAGCAATCTCCCGCGGTGAACCACGTATAGGAAATTTTCCAAGGTTATTTAGCTCCATCGCGACGCCAATTTGTTGTAATTTTTGTAGTAGTAGTAGTATTAGTATTTCGAGATGACCGAATTACAAGAATCCAACCAAAACACTGAGAGGGCGGAATTCAGGAACTTGTATTTAGCGGAATTATTATTCAATTCATATAAGAAATATATTAACAATCAACAGTAAGTATTTAAACAATACAGAGATAGAAATTGTCAATAACCACAATTTATATATAAAAATTTTTAACCAACTACTTTTCGCAAACTTTTTCTAAAGAAAACCCGCGATTGATAGTGATAACCAACATGGCAGTATAAGAGAATATTTGAAAGTCTGAAGTGTTACCAGTGCGTAGTTTGCTGTGGTCACAAAGATGAGAAATTTAACTTAATAACCATTAGAAAATGAAAAGGATACATCAGCATAAGATTTCCCATAAATATGATCCCCCCTGGCTAATAACAATACTGTTGTTCTGTTATGTGCCATGAGGTTCTGTGCAACTAGTCAACCGTTTATTATTAAACAGCCGAGTTATTTTAGGGGAAAGTTATAATGTCTGAGCTAAGTCATCTAAGTTCGAAGCATACCTCAGTGTGACTGAGGTAAATAGAGACTGTCAAATACTCTAAACATTTGCATCGCTTATACATCCAGTATCAATTTGAAAATTTGTTTACTTCTCTACGTTCAGATTCTCCTGTGAAAGATTTAGGTAAGTCCCTTTTCTTTCTAAAGTTAGTCGGGATTTTTCATTTCAGAGGATTCAGCCTTTGTGTACAGCTAATGCAAAGTGTAATTTCAGTGAGATATTAACTAGTACGCTTGTCAAAATCGAGTATTCAATCTTAAAATTCACAGCCAGCATACAAAGAAGTTAAGTGCACAGTTCACAGTTTCCTCCGTCTCTGGGATAGATATGTCAATCAAATTGCCGAATAAAGGGGACAGAAATCAGAATCTGTCATTTGTAACACGTAACATAAAGCCCAATTATTAATTGTCGAAAATTCTGGAAACGTTCTCTGCTATAGGCCTCAGAGTTGTACAAGTGATTTCAGCATACTCAACAATGTGTATCAATTTCTAAATGTGTAGACATACACATGGTAGTATAGTTGTGCCTTTCGAGAGTGCATGTGAGAATATATAACAAATGGCATATAAAACGATTGAAACCACCGGTAAACGCGAGTGGTGGGCATGTAGTTTTGTGCGCAGCATCTAGTATTAACACAAAATGCATTCGCTAATGTACATTTAGCTGACGCTGTACAACGTTTAGGTGAGTCAATTTTTCTTTATATGGCAAAATTCAACCTAATCTGTGTTGTATAATGATGCCTCACACTGAGTTCTGTGTATTGTATACCCACAAACTGTTTTTTAAATATATGATTCACATATTACTTCCCTCAAGGAAAGTAGAAAATACATATGGAAAATTGCCAGTGTATCATGAACTGTCCAGAAGGTATCTTGTGTTTTATTAAAACTTTAATCGTAACGTACATAATAGGATACACTGGGCAAGAATTCAAACACCGCGTTGGTGAAATCTCTGTAGGATAAGTTGGTGATAAAAAATAAGGAGAACAATTAATCAACGATCAATGTGGGAACTTTTGTACGCTTATAAAACTAGTAACGTCTACATAAGCACACGTAGAAGTGTATATGTAAATGAAAATGGCTGTAAGAAAGTGACTGATTTAATTTTTTTTACTTGCCATCATCGATAACAGAATTACATCTGATAACCAGTGATTAACAAGGACGACAACTCCATGTTGCTTTTATTTATTCAGCTAATTGCAAAAGTTGAATACTTAGTTGCTATGATACACTGAGCCAAGATGAAAATCCTATAAGATGACATATTCTCCTATGACCGATATAAAGATGAATAGAATTTAACATAATGCTGCCTGCGTGTTTGATGTTACCTAGTTGTAATGGGCGATTTATGAGTATATATACTCTTTGAATGAAAGTACTTTCAAACGCCTTAGACTATGTCAACTGTAGATTGCATTTTTAAGAGGTAACTCAATGTAACATAATATGTTAATCACATACTTTAACCAAAAGTGACGCTGTATTTCGAATAATGTCAAATTTTAACAGAGTTAAAGAAGTAATATTATCTGTGGTAATCTGTTTACGCATTTTATATCCATGTAAACGAAAGGTAATGAAATGCGTAAGTCTTCCTTGCGTCTATAAAGGATTGTGAGATGCTGTTCAAGGAATCCCACTGATAATGATTTTACTTGATATGCATTATTATTATTTCGATTCTTTTCTTCACCTCACCGCTTCAGTCCTAAGAAAACCAGTGAAAATTGAGCCACTGGAGGCGTAAACATTTAGAATATGCTTTTTCAAGTATTGGTTTTGTAGGGATCAGGTTTGATTAGTTGGAGGACTTCATCACGAACTCGCCTTGTAATCAGAAGGCCCTGGTTTTGAACCCCGGTAGTTGCGTACTGGAGAAGAGTTTCGGATCAGGACGAAACAGCTGTCAAGTACTCCCAGGTTTTCCAATGTTTCTTTAACTGATGTCAGATCATGATGAAATCCTCCAACCAATATGGCGTATGCAATTAAACATCAGCGTTTTCAAATTAAATCTATTTTAACTATGGTCTAAAACATTTTAGCTTAACATAAATAATCAGTGACAGTGGTCTGCATGTTTTAATGTCACTGTTATTCCTTCTTTGTCCTTCAAGTTTAACATGGCGCTTCAGCAGTACTCAGTTTTCCGTATCACTTTTAAATGGCTCCAAAACTGCCCGCAAACTTCCCAGTTTCCAGTTAAAAACCTGATGTGTAATATGATGACACTCGACAGTCTCCTTGGTGGATGTAGAGTCCAATGTGCGTCAGTAACACAGAGGTTAGATCTCTCACCGACCATCCACAGGGTCCAGGGTTCGATTTTCGGCCGATGCACACCTGATTTCATTGGTTCGTATGCTGAATTTGGGGTACCGATATCACATGTTGAAAATTACATGTCTGTACCGAAAATACGGAGTGGAATGAAGCTTTGATCAAAATAAAAATATTTTACATGTTTGTTGGATAATAAGATTTTGGCAGCATTGCCTCCACAGAAATTCCTTTTTGCCTATGCTTCTGCCAGCCATTTAGTCTTCAGCATTCAGCTAGTGAAAGCATTTTTTGACAAAAATCTAAACATGTTGGAACGTCCTCCAAGCTTCTGAAAACAAATAGAAGCACTTACTTGACATAAGTGTCAAAATTAAGAACCTAACCGTAACGCTAAGTGCAGTTCGTCTTCACCGTGACTTCTGGGTAATGAAAGACTGCACTTTTTCCCAATCTAGATATTCTATCACCTTTTATCAGGTCAACGTAAACCTGTTTTATCGAACCGCTCTGTCTGTTACATGATCCAGAAAGATAATTGATGGTATTTGGCATTCTTACTTGACTCGTGTCTTCAATTCAAACGTATCACTGGGTTTTTTAACATGAATTACCTAACATGTGACATCATTATGTGGCTATCAAATGAAGTTTATTAAGATTTTCTGCACTCTGTTTGAGTTGGTTCCGTATTACGTCATGATTAAAGCTATCAAACAACTTTCAAAGTCGATAAAAATTTGTATTAGTTCTGTACTTTGATCGATGCTCATGTGTAGCGGTGCTAATTGATTCACAGGTGATTTTTTTCCTGAATATAGCATGTTCCCATAGAAATCTTCTACTTACGATATTTTCAAGTCTTTGAAGGATGATGGCGCTTAGTATAATTCAGGGGGTGTACATGGGTATGATTGCTCACCAGCTCGTTTAAGAATTAAGTTGTTCTTCTCTGACAGTTTAACAAGGTAGCCTACCTTTCAATCTCTAGACAGCTCTCGTCTCTTCTACACTTTGTGCACTGGTGGAGGGAATATTTTTATCTCAGGAATTCTTTGAGGTGATCGCCTTAGAGTTTCCCCAATCGCACCTCTTAAATAATTGTGTTTCCAAAAGTATACTCTGAATAATGGCTATTTCAGAAAAAGAACTCGAAAACATATATCAAATTAATTTGTGTTTGTAGAGAAGAGATTGGATTCATTTGGTGAGTTATATTATCATATGGATTCGGTAATGATAGTTATTACACAAACACAAATGTTTCATTTACATTTCCTTCATTCTGCCCATCACGGTTTAATTGCCCACTGCTATGTCTGGGTCGTAAGAAAATGAGTATTTACTTTTTCAATGAGTAAGTAAATGAAAAAAAGTATCCATTCAAACAAAACTGCCGTAAAATAAGACTTTGTTAACTCTACCCTACCATATATTCTCAGTCAACACACTTGATCAGTGATAACTATTTCCAACACAACAGCCATTCAAAAAATGTAATTCATACACAGTTATGTTTGTCTGTAGCGTTCGTGATGTTCGTATCCTGTTTTTCGGGGACCTTAGTTAGTAATCGCACCAAAAAAGAACCCGGAATAGCAGATACTAAGTTATCCAGAATGATCTCTTTGTGATTATCACAGGAGAGTTCGTTTTCCTTTTTTTGTATACCGAGATGGCAAGTGATTCACACCGAAGCAACGGGAGCATCCATGTGATTTAGCATTATCGAAGGGTGCATTTTAACCGAATCAGCTGAGGCTAATTAATATCATGATTTCTTGTGCATTCATTCCTTTGAAACTACATTTGATAAATTTCTAGTCCTAAACTTGAACAATATTTCGTTTTGCTTTACTAAATATAACGGCAGAATGATTAATTGTGATAATCCACTTATCTTAAAATGAAAATCCTGTAACGATGGTATTTTCATTTGAACCGTTTTATGACAGGTTAAAATGTCATATACTAGGTGCACATTCAATATTAAAAAGGAGGTGATTTGTGATTATTGAGTGTCTAAAATTCGAATCTGAATGCATCACATTCAACAAAACCAATATCGTATCATTTTTTTCTTTTGAAATAATGAACATCTTAAAATAAATGCTTTAATTGTTTTCAGACGATTGGATCTTAACTTTTTTTGACAAATGCAGAATCACCCTTATTTCATTTATATCACTTTGCCCTTGTAAACACAAGCATCCCTAATAGGTGAGCTTATTGTCACTCGTCTACGATCATTGTAGAGAAATCTTATTTAAATTTAGCATTAATTTGCATTTTCATTATTTACTCTGCTGCCATTTGATTTTACTTCTATACCACTGAATTTTTGTCTGCTAAATTTTCAACGCCATCCTCATTCATCAGGACAGGACCGATTTTTGCCTAGTACACACTTCCGTCTGTGGATATGAAAATACCAATCCTGAGCAAAATGTAAGACAAGTTCGTATATTTCTAACGATAATTTCATATCTCTACTGAAATTCTGCCTACAGCTACTTCATTGTGGTCAGTGAAACTTAGAAAATAAGGGATACGTTGGACAAGTTTAACCGCGTCTTTCCCGGTATTTAAACATGGAGAGGGATGTGTTGCATTAGTTACCATTTGAAGGAACTTGACATACTTAGATGCTTCCTCGTAATGTATCGAAGACTAAATGTTATCACTCTTCGTCCTGAAGACTAGCCTGCTAGCCTGCAACGCGCTTTGTTCGCCACTGGTTCGTCCCAATTTTTCAGAACCCAAAACTTCAGCTACTAGTTTATTTGAGCGGATCCATCTATGATCGTCAAATTATGAGACAGTGTATTTTACTTTTGTTGCTGCAGTGTTCACAAAAATGAAACAAGCTGAAAATTCTGTCGTGGGAGGAGTATAACTAGAATGGTAATAGAATGATAAAGGCAAGTGATGAAAAGAGTTTATCATCTTGTGTGCAGACAGATTCTGTAAAGTTTTGTATTAACCGAAGGCCACAAAGACTTTAGTTCCCGCAGTGCTTTGAATCTACCTTGCTCAGCCTATTTCACTTCTTAATTGCTCAAAGAGAACTGTCACATTCATTTTGCGCTCAAACCTGTCGGCGTTACAAATCCATCCTCATACCACCATACACAAGCACATGAAACCATAATAGCGACTGCTTTTTAAGCGGTGAACGATAATAATCCTTTACCTGACGAAGAATTTCGTTATATTGTTTTTTTTATAAAATTTATTATAATGTGAAGGAATTTATTAAACTATAGAGAATTATGGAGAACTTATGGGTAAGTATGCATTTTCAACTAATCCAACGAGAACTATTTTTCGTGTCGTGATGAAAACTGTATAGCTCTTGAGAACCGGTTAATTCAAAACAACAACATTTAAAGCATTCCATTATGGAAAAGGTTTTATTTTGATAAATCACACAGTATTCTACAGTTATGTTAACTGATAATATAATATAACTGTACAACACTGTGTGATTTATCAAAATAAAATCTTATCCATAATGAAGTTATACTCTACCACAGTGCACAAGTTTTATACTTATATCAACATTTAAAGCAAACTATTATTTTCAACTAATTCCCCCACCAGGTCCTAAACTTATGACTAAAAGTACGTTTTCAAATTTTCCTCTGTTTTCATGGATAAGACGCAACAAATACTATTGTCTCTTGGCCTGGAACTTAATGACAGACATATTCAGAGACTGACGTTCAATTTGAGAACTTATTTGGTTGGATGAAAAATGAATCTCTACGTCGGTGTACGATTTAACCTAGTTGGAAACTATTTTGCTTGATATTTGCTCTTGGTTTAATAAAAACACATTTTCATTCAACAGTCTACTTAGTAAAAACCATCGAGATATATTCCAATAGTACAAAACAGAAGAGAACCTATTAGTCAACATACCTCATCAGTGATCTCCTACACGTTACATGAATAAGTGTGATTATTTAGATTGCATGAATCGTCCTCTCATTGACTAAAGATCATTTAAAAGCATGAATAAACGTGAAAATCCAGTTGAGTTAACGTAGCCACAAATGACTAAGAATCCGATCTTCAAGTTCACCTACACTTAATTAAAATCATAAGGCACAAATACAAACAACTGGGCTCTACCACTTACGGAAAGTGAACAAACTAAGAGCCCCACTACACCCAATTTTTGATATCTTATAGTCTCCCTGCCACAGAGCACAGAAGCGATTAGCAAAGTAAATGGAACTCCATATCACGTACTGATAAATTTCAACGTAAAGAAAACTCTAAGTGACGTAAAAACTGTCGAAGATCGCGCAAGTGGATGAGAAAAATTGAGTTGCTGAATAAAACATCATTTAATAACATCCTACTTCTTGAAACGCAAACAGGATCAGAAGACAGAAAAAAGGGTTTTACCTGAAAAGTTGAAGAACTACTGTGAAAATGTAAGATAAATGACCTCTTTATGCTAAACAACGAATCCAATATGAAAATGAAGGGCTTACGCTGACTGACTCCTTATGCTAATGCATACATTTTCGGTAAAACGGAAAAATAGTTCGATTACATATACAATTGATAAGCTGATCCCAGTGTGTTAATAAAAGCTAATAACTTTGTTTCGAAAATGTGATTTCACATTTAGACTAACCTGTATTCCAGAAGAATAAGGTTTATTTATTCATAGTCCGTCATACATCAAGTGAAGTGGGTCATCATTGATAGTTCTCATCGAAGGTATCGCTAAGTCACGAACTGGTAGTAATAAGAATTTACAGGTGATTGTATTTTGAAATAATGACTAAATATTCAACTGGATTGTCTCATAACATGGTGTAGCTGTGATTGAGATTCTCTAGTGAAGAGTACTAAACTAGGACTGACTACCTGTCGGCTGCTATCTGAATTTCATTTCTTTGCTAACTGATACGGTTTCATGACGAAATCTGCATTAAAGTTAAACCATATCCCTATAAAGCGTGCTTCATTACATGCAACCTTGAATCGGAGACATATTACACACTAAAACAACACTGGAAGACGTTCAAAACAAAATCTATTATTCATAATTATGGTAAATAGACCTTCATACCTTCAGAACTTAGCATTTTCAACTCTAATTCATCTCTTTAAATGGTTGGAAAAGTGAAAGAAGTTTACAGATATTTGGAACATTTATTCAGTCATTATTGTTGATTTGACTCCAAGTTGATTTGATGAACAAGCTTTGATTGTCTGTCAGTTATTACATCATGCACAGCAACATACAATTATACAACAGTAACACAAGACTATGGTTATAAAATTAAGTATACATTATAAGGAATTCAAGCTTTTTAACAAATCGGTTGGGAATACATGCCATAAATATAATGCAGTGGCTGTTCACAATATTTGAAAGTCCACACTTCTTGTGATACAGACCAAAGTAAAGAATTAGAGCTCTGGAAGCCAAATCTCAAACTTAAAGAAATACAATTGATATGATTTCGAAAAGCCACTTGTGTTTTACCGTCCTCAATATCACATTATTAGCAATTCAACAGCAAGAACGTTGAAGGTCCACAGAATAATTATCTTTACATAAACATCAGTGCTTTTGACTTTGACAGTGTGTGCACTGTTATCATTGGAAAGAATGATTGGTATTCACCCACCTTCATTACATCATGTATTTCAATAAACGCAGAGCTAATGAGCTGTAAAATATCTTGAATTGTTTACACTAGAATAGGTGGATTAGCAATTCCTAAAATTGATAAGTCAAGACTGTCTCGTCCATAGTGCCATTTGGGATTTATGTGCAAATAACACTTTGGTTGAATACTCCGGTGAATGTGTTTATTCTGACTAGGAAAATTAAGTAATAAGTATTTTAGCTGCTTATCATGTTAAATTCATCATTATCTAGTAAATCATGAAATTCTCACTTCAACTTCATGTAAACTTTCATTTAAACGTTCAGCAACATTTAACAATAAGTTCAATTTCAATTTATAGGTTCAAAGTCTGGTTGAATGCTGACTTCAGGTAAATAAAACACCAAAATTTTATTTGTACTTTGAAGTTCGCTTCAGATAACGAATGTAGTGATAATGAAATTTGTGGCTGTAATGTTATTCAAGACAAGGTTGAGAATGATACCATCGGTTTACATGCTGCTCTAGCCTCATATTTTTTAAAAATGAATCAACATACAACTTATTATATCCATTATCTGTATGATAGTGTCTAGAATCGTCTGCGGTGCGACATGCTAATTTCACATGTAAATATTTTCGTTTGAAATGTAAGTACTGGACATTTCCCCAAACGTGGAGACAAGACGTCCACTATGAAGTGTTGAAGCTCAAAAGACATCAAGCAATTTTTTTCTCATTTATGACAGATAAATAACTATTATTTCATATTGGCAAGTGTAACTTAAACAAAATAAGATAAAAATTGAAAACCAGGGAGTACTGAACTAGCGTTCAGTCCTAGTTTGAGACTCCTACTGATAATTCGATTGTGTATTGTAAGTGCTGTTCTTGGAATTAAGTAGATTATTATTATGATCATGGGCAGCACGTGGCCACCAGGTTTAGGATCCAGGATCTTCTGGTGACAAGGCTCGCTCGTAGATCATTCAGACACTGGCACTCGACTCGATAGCCCATGAATTCTAACTTCTACCAATTCTCGATTTTAAAACGACCTCTAACTTATGTCATCGCGGAGCATTTGTCCTCATTCCAGACAGAATGGACCTCACTGGACATGATCTTTGACTAGAACGCCTGGAAACTCCGTCCTGCGGCCAGTCACTAGCTGGCATCGAATCCGTTGTCATACTTGAAAATTAAATCAAATCCCTACAAATAAACTCCTAAAAATAAATTTGAAGTATCAATAATATAGCTTTTTGATTTGATGAATTTATCTGAGAAAATACGCGCGCGTTACCGATTGAATACCATTCAGAAAAAAATATTTGTAGCTTGGGTTGTCATAATTTTTTTTGATATTTACTGTTACGACACTCAGCACTACACAAGTGTTTCAAACATTGATACAACTACACTTGTTATTTTTCTTTTTTCAATTCTCTAACTCATTCACCCCTCCGTGTTTACTAACAGATTTACCTTCCACCAAGATGCAGTAATATTATCCATATGATGAGCAAGAATCACACGTACTCGTTTAACAGTTTAGCAGTTGAATTATCATGATTTTATTGTTTTGTATCCTAACAGAAATAACTGTATTTGTACTTCTTTATATTTTAGAGTTAATCAGCAAATCTGCAGCTCAGAAAACGAATAATAGTTCTCTAACACCCCTCACTTCATTTTAATGTAAATCAATAAATGCCTAAATGTATAACATGGTTTAATTCTTAATTAATAAATGCGATCGAGGTCGTCATGTGAACATATGTAATATGTAGGGCTTTACGACAATGTACAGGACTCGATCATTCACGTTTTAGTAGTACGTGTATCTCAGGTATTCATTCGTTCAAAACTTCAGAAATTACTTCAGACTACTTTATGCTAGAATTAAAGTAATCGTGGACATTTTCAAATAATCTAGATACACTCACATTTTGAAAAATGAAAGGGACTGTTCAAAGTGTGATAGGTCCAGTTCTAATTAGTACTCTTAGTAAAAAAGAAACTTGTCAATCCCCAACTTTCAAATTGCAGGATATTAAAGTTATAATTGTTTATGTTCTTCAAATGCCTATATATGCAGCGATATCCGCACCCTTCAAAGTGTAAACAGATAAGTATAATGGTGTCAAAAAGAATATCTAAATGCAACCTTACTTACTTAATTAACTTAATAAACTAAAGAAGTAAAACAGGATGATAGAGGGCATATCTGAAAATAAATTATGTTTCCTCATTGGTCAGCTTTTGAAAATAATTTACTGGGTGATAAATTATTTACCATGTAACCGGTATGTGCGTGAATACACAAGAATGACTAGGTTTCAGTCACATTTTCAAAATGTTTGTCTATCATTTCTGATTGGATAAATGATCACCTATCAGTGTAAATGGCTCTTGGTGCATTACACTTTTGTGAAAGTCCTTGTGTAGAAATCTCTTTGCTTTGTCTAAAAATAGCAGAGCATGCATTTGCCAAAGAAACAAGCAACATCTTATCCACTATTATTAGTGTAATTATACCCTTGGGTTCTTGGGTAGAACATAAGGCTTCAAAAGCACATCAGCTCTCCGTCCAGCATTATATGGTCCTTTTCAGCTGACCTCATGATTGCCCATAGGTTCTCATCCTCTCACTACACTACCTCTTTCACTTACCTTTGGGAGGCTAAAGCCCTCGTTCCCAATCGTGGTTACACTAGAGTGAACTCGTGGTGTGCGATTTCGTCCAGCGATCTTCCAAGCGTTTTTCTGATCTGTCTATATTTTATTTGGCATATTTGCTGAGTGACAGCTTATTTGTTGTTCGTTCTCGGAATTACTTGCTCCTATATATTTACAGTCAGCTGATGTTCAGGAAGGCCTATTCGAAATGCGTGAGTGCAGAAGACCTCAGAACTTTTTGCACAGTGATGAAAGTGCATCCTACCTTTTTGATTCCGACTCTGACACCACCCGTGCCGTTGCCTGTAGTTGAATTGATGCTTGCTAGATAAGTGAAGTGGGAAACCCTTTTCAAATTTCTTCGCTCGATAGTGACGGGTGCTTGTTCTGGTTGTAGCTTGATTATTATCATCACCTCTAGTTCTCTGCGTTTGCTTAAAGTCTTGTCTTTGGTGCCTGCATCTTCACCAAACTTGTTGGTTTTCAGCTGTAATTCTTCGAATTTATGTGACATTAGATACAAATCGTCCGCAACGTCCAGGCATTATAGAGATTTTTGTCGGTCCAACGTATTCCTGTATTCTCAATCCCTTCAGTTCGATGCCAGTGTAGATCATTAGACACGTGGCATCGTCATAAAGCTGCCAAATGGGGTTTACAAAGTTTGAGTCACTTCATATAATAGTGCAACTGGTTTTCATCCAGTCTTCAAATTATGTGGATGAGAATGTTTGTTTAGGTATTCCCAAGCTACATCTGTTCAGAATAACGCTTGATAGACTTGGAGTACCATGTGTAGAGAAAAAAACTGATGCGGAGCTTGTGAATATTAATAAATGTCATTCTGAGGATTCATATCTGCAAAAATTTGTACTGAAACATAGAAAATAATTAACGTGAAAATTTAAATTTGTAGGTCTCAAAGGAAGTAGGCCTTTATCTGTCTTGCATACAGAGAGCAAGGAGGGTCAGTAAGAACCAAGAGAGAAAGAAACCATTGATGTAGCGGAAACGACATTTCCCCCTTTCTGGATTGATTCCATTCTACGACACAAACTGTCCATGAGTTAAGTCGAAGGTGGATAGGTCTCCTTCTCAAGCCACCACTTGTTATGTTTGCTTTTTAAAGGCACTTATGGTAGCAAGCAGATAGAAAATACTGAGTGTTGAGCTCCAAAACAATTTATTGAGTACACACCTAATAACCAGGCAGGTGACCTACACAGATAAAAGCATGATTACCTCATTTTACGAAATCAAATAATTACAACCTATTTTTGGAAATTCCTTGTCAATAATTTGTGTGGACTTTAATTCGTGCGATCACAGCTTTCTTACATCACTTGGTCATGATAGCCTGACCAAATTCGATACTCGTCTGGACAAGACCATAGACTTAGTTTTCATAAAAGATCATGACATATACTAGGTGCAAGGGAGAGCTCTATTGCTGAATTCTGACCACTTCAGTATTCGTGTTTTACTGAAAGTGAATGGCAAGTTATACAGAATGGCCTTATTCTCCTGATGAAGGAAGTCCAAGAACAGTCCTATTCACATAACAGTATTCTCCACAACTTAAAAGTGCTTAAGGGAGAAAAAAAGAGGATTTTTATAAATAATATGATAATGCAGGCGTTCCAACAGTAAATTCTCTGATTAAGTTGAAATACAAAGTCTAAATGGGATATATTATGAAAAATTCTTATCATATCAGAATGCTTCCAACATCTGGAAACTTTTTAATCAAATTACAGACGGGAATAAATTTCAGTCTATGCTTATGCTGATGTAAATGCCTTAAATATACCTTCCATAATGCAACAATCTAATATGACTGGACCTGATGTAACTAGTGACGCAAATGATCATATCCCTGTTTTTAATGAAAAGGATTTATTCCCATATATATATGCAGTCATATGGATGTGATTACGAGCAATAAATTGTTCTTGAAAATTCATCAGTAAATATCACTGTATAGTACTGTGAGACTTCATCAAAACAAATTTTACCCATAATGGTATAGTATTCTCATCTCTCCAATGATTAAATCCATTAAATAACCTAAGTCCCTTTGGTGCACCAAACATTTTGATTCAGGTGTGTGCTGGGATTTCGTGTCATCCTCTTAAACAAACCTTTATTGCATCATTTCATAGGGATACAGTACCTGCTGTCTGGAAGGAAATAAATTTGGTGCATTTACTAGAGTCATTTTCTGAAACAGATCTACAGTTTAGGCCGATCTCCATCACGTTCCCATTTTTAAAACTACGGAAAAACGTCTCTTGCATGTTCCTAAACCTTCTGTGAAATCTTTTAATGATCCAAAGCAGTTCGCTTACAAACCCAGTAGCAGCACATTAGATGCTTCCGTTGTACTCTATGGCAATATTGTTTCGAGTCTAAATAAAGGAGTTTAGTTTATTAGAACCTCTATTTTGGACTTAAGTGCTGCTTTTGACTATATTTCTAAGTCATTTTTACTAGGCAAGCTGACTTCAGCAAACACATGGTCCTGGATCACAAGGCGGCTGTCTACATATTTTCGGGTAGAAAACAACCGACCAATCTGAATGGAAAGTACTCCACTTCGTCGCTAACGGAAACTGGTGTGCCCGAAGGATCTGTACCCCCTCCATTTCTTTTTTTTCTCTTTTTGCATGACACTCTGTATTCCTCTAAGGCTGATTTCACTAAATATCCAGATGGTCTAGCAATTTATGTCTCAGTCGTTTCTGAATTGGATTGTTTTTCTATATGAATAGATTTTTATCTGAAGTTAACAAGTGGTTTCATCTAAATGGTATTAAACTGAATTTATTCAAATGTCATAGTTTTGAATTTAGTTTCAGACGTGAACTAGACTCGCATGAACTGATTCAATCCTAAGATGTTTATATTACTCGTAGCCCTATGATAAGGAGTCAAATATCTGCTTTCTGGGCATCCGTTTCTCTTCAAATACCTTCTCATATATCGTCGAATTCAGAAAAAAATATTTGGTTAATTTAATACATAAAGAAGTTGAGAATTTCTAGAATAACCCAACCTATTCTCCCACAATCTATCTATTCATGTATTCTGTCCATTCGTCTTGACTGTTTGCCCTTATTCGTTCCTGGACTTCTCAAAACAGACTATGTCATATTACGTAGAGTATTGAAGGCTATAGGTGTGGTGTGTCTTTGGCTCAAATAACTGACATTGTTGCTATCAGACACTGTAATTCTTGAAAGCAGTTGGCTAAAGTTATCTTGTCTCATACCGAACATCCTCTCACTTCGCAGCTTTCTCCTTCTGTATCTTCGGGTAAAATCACATCTACTATCTTTAAGTTCCAAGGCAAAATATATAGACAAACAGAAGGTATAGCAATGGGATCACCAATATCCCCTATCGTAGCAGACATATTTATGGACAGCTGGGAAAATAGTGCCCTCAATAAATTTAATCCTACTCCGAAAACATGGTGGAGATATGTGGATGACACTTTCACAGTGTCAAAAACAGAACATATCTCTAGCTTCTTGACACATATAAACTCACAAGTTGAGGGAATAAAATTCACATTTGAATCAGAAAATGAATAAGGAGAATTAGCTACGTTAGATTGTAAGAAAAAAGTATAGAAGAAGGCAAACTACACACTAGTGTTTATAGAAAACCAACGCATTCTAATAGATATTTAGACTTTAATTCGTCTCACCCTTTAACTGTTAAGGCAGGCTTAGTTAAATGTTTGACAAACCGAGCAGTGGCACTAAGTAGCACAATAAAAGATCTAAATGATGAATTAAAACAGATAGAAGAAGCGTGGGTGTTGAATAACTATCCTATAAAATTCATTAGGAAGATCATTAAAGGCCAAAAACAAAATAAAAATAATTGTGAAACTAGTAATAATAACATAAATAAGAAAGAATATAAATCATCCACAGTTATACCATATAAAGAGGGGACATCTAAGACACTACGTAGGATTCTGAATAAAATAGGAATGGGGTGGCATTTAAACCTACAAACTCACT